GTATCTACGATCTGTTGGTCAACAATTTAGAGACTGGCGAGGCACTTTATGGTGTCGAGGTCGATTTGATTCCATGGGGTAGCGCTGAACGGACCAGGGACACTACCGGAGCACAAGTATTTGATTATGCTTGCGCTGAAAACGATGTTGACTGTAAGGCTACCAGATTGCACGTAAGTAAAATGCTTAATATTTGAGCAGGAACCTCTTAAAGAATTTTCGATTTACACATTTATTATAATATTATGATAATTATGTTTATAAAATGATCTACTTGTGAGTCAGAAATAATTTACTATGAATTATATGGTATTGTAGTAATTTTATTAATATGCATGTGTGCTACTTCACTATTATGTTGTTAAACGTTGGTCATTTTAGAAGCAGTTGAGTCATTTTAAAAATCTACAAAACAATTTAATCTAGATCATGATAAGTTTGCATTAAAGAATAATATTCTTATTTACAAATTACTTGATTAGAATTTGTACAAAACAGATTAACTTTTAAAATTATATAAAATACTTAACACTTTATAACTCATTCGTGCGTATCTACATAAATTACCTAGGCGTGCATAGCTCGCAACCACGTGACCAATTACGTGAATCACCACGAGTTCCGTATTGCCGTTTGTACGGTAGGCAAATCGGATTGGAAACAAAACCCCCTGGCCAACGCCATAGCATGTAGTAACGCCAACCCCGATATAATTGACGATGGTGTCACTTTTGTACTTTGCGCCAATAGTCGGGAATTATCAGATCCCTATTTGAATCAAGTAATAGCCGCCACCGACACCCTGCACCCGGTGTTTGACTACAGTGAGTATCTCCTATGATTTTTAATATCTAGCTACCTTTGAATTAATTGCAAATAAAAAGGTCACTATTTTAATCATTATTTATATAAGTAGATAAAAATAATTCCAGTAATTGTCTGGTAGAAATTGATTAATTACAAATAATAATTCTAAAAATATTCATCTTTATAAATTTATAGTCATGATAAGTACAGTATTTTGAAAATTTTAAGTGGAATATCACATGATCATATAAATTAGAATAACCGTACCTAGGAAATATATGCAAAATAATTATATCGAATTAATGAA